TGAGACACCACAGTAACTGGCTCCGAAGTCACATAAAGGCAGCGGTCGTCCCCTCTTCCACCACACGCTATCGCAGGCCTAGCTTCGTCCTGCACACGTGTAGTGTTGTTGGACATGGGTTGTTCCATTGTCTAGAGTCAGGCAATATTTGGGCGATTCCCTTGTTCTTGAATATGTCTATCCATTGTAGAAGTTTGTACCTCTTTTATTCTTCCCCATTTGTTTAATAGTGACGTAATGCACTGATTGTTGTTGTCAGTGGGTTCTGATGTACACATTAATACAGTTATGAAGATAAAGGTTCCTTTGGGAAAATGGAATTCCACTGTGACTGATAGGTTCCTTAATAGGTGCACCCAACTACAAAGTCTCCAAGTGGCTGCTTCACCAACTAAATCCACTTAAAAGAACTCGGAGTACTACATTGGTAATTCAAGAGCGTTTCTAGACAAACTAAAAGGAATCAAAGTCTCAACTGACGAAATCATGGCTTCATTCGATGTGGTCTCACTTTTCACCTCGATCCCTCTGGATTTAGCGAGAGGCTGCACCGAAAAAAACTACTCCAGGCCTACAACGTTGATGTACCTGCATAGGCTTTACTCTAACTAGTAGACCTTTGTCTCGAAACCAACTTTTCCTTCTCTGATCAACGCTACCAACAAATAAAAGGAGCCCCATGGGTTCACCCCTATCTGGCTTTCTGGCCGAAGCTGCAATGCAAAAAAGTTAATCAACAGTCCTCTCCACAGCCACACCCAAATTCTGGCTACGCTATGTAGATGATACATTTGTCATCATCAGGAAGAATGATTTGGACCTCATCCACAACAAGCTCAATTCCACATTCACAGGAATTGCATTTGCACTCCAAACGGAAGTTGACGGACAAATCCCATTCCTAGATGTCCTTGTACATAGAAATACTGATGGATCACTCCGTACATCTGTTTATCATAAAGAAACATATTCGGAAGTCACCCTACATTTTATGAGCAACCACTTAGTCTCTTACAAAGGTAGTTCTGTCTACTGCCTCCTCAAGCAAGCTAAAACACACTGCCCTGATGACAAAGGTTACAAAAAAGAAATGGAATACTTTTTAAAAATTATTCTCCAAAAATGGTATCCACGAAATTTTGTGCTTCAGTGCATAAAACGACAAGAACCCAAAGGAAAAGAAAAAGGCATTTCGTATGGTACGGCAAACGAGGTATCGAAAACAACAACCTGGCGAACTCTCCCATACGGAAAAAATGTATCCAAACTTTTCGAAAGAAAACTAAGAAAACACTAGACACAAGTGGCACACCAACTAGCTACCACCTTACGATCACAGGTTGTACACCCCAAGGACACGGTTGGCTATCTTGAAAGAAAAGGGGTTGTCTACAAGATCCCGTGTTCCAGTTGTGATGCCATTTATTGTTGGCAAACTGGGAAATGCGCCTCAACCGGCATACACCAACATAATTTAGCAGTGAAAAGACGAGACCATTTATCCCAGGTGGCCATGCACACACTGGAAACCGGCCACAAGTTCGCATGGGAGAACACACGGATTGTTGGCAGTTGCCCAACTAGAAAAGGCCGTGAATTCCTAGAAGCAATGCACTCAGACGAGGCATGCATTAACAGGCATATCGAGTTGGACGTCAACAATAGTTACCTCGAAGCCAAACTCAGTGCGCGCCATCAACCACAACAGAATGACAAAAGGCACGTAGGCGCATTACCATTACTGTGTTACCATCACCTATGATTAAGGATTCCCGACGGAATCGGAAACGTCAGGCAAATAAAACTCTTGTTCCAGTGATCGCATGTTCTTCTTCCGAAAAGGTGTGGTATGGAGGCAAACTGGTTATTCCAGAAACTCAAGTTTCTCACGGCAGGCTCACGAACGACAGTCCAATCGGCGGTACAGTTCCTTGACAAAATAAAGATGGTCAGAGTGGAGCCAGATGAAAGGATGGTGTCATTCGATGTCATCTCGCTCTTCACCTCCATACCACAGGCGCTTGCTGTCGAAACCATCCGCGACCTCCTACGTCAGGAGAAAGATGAAAGAGATGGTCAACCCACAGCTCAGGATATAGTAGAACTCGTGAAGCATTGCCTCAGGACCTTCTTCACATTCGAAGGGACCACGTACGAGCAAATCAAGGGCACTCGAATGGGGTCCCCAATCTCCGGGTTCATTGCGGAGATCGTACTTCAAAAACTCGAGAGGCAGTTGTTTGAAGAGTACGAGCCGAAGTTTTGGGCACGCTACGTTGACGACACTTTCGTTTTCATCAACCAGAGTCAAATCAACCACTGCAAGGAACGACTGAACTCAATTTCTCCCGACCTACAGTTCACGATGGAAGAAGAGACGGAAGGCCGACTTACGTTCCTAGACGTTCTCGTATGCCGCCAAGCGGACGGCAAACTAGCGACG